TTGGGAGCGGAATTGTCAGTCGGCGCTCGACCAGGTCGTCTGCAGTCTCCCTCTCCTCCTGTGAGGCAGAGCTCTACGCTGGCACCATGGCTGCTCAGGAGGCCCGTTGGCTCACCTTCATACTCCAGGAGCTTGGTTTCCCACAGTCCGCCCCCACCCTCTGGTGCACACACACACACCAGTGCAAGTCAACACACACCAGTGCAAGTCAACACACACCAGTGCAAGTCAACTCACACATCAGTGCAAGTCAACACACACCAGTGCAAGTCAACTCACACACCAGTGCAAGTCAACTCACACATCAGTGCAAGCCAACACACAAACCAGTGCAAGTCAACACACACCAGTGCAAGTCAACACACACCAGTGCAAGTCAACACATACCAGTGCAAGTCAACTCACACATAAGTGCAAGTCAACACACATCAGTGCAAGTCAACACACACCAGTGCAAGTCAACTCACGCATCAGTGCAAGTCAACACACACCAGTGCAAGTCAACTCACACACCAGTGCAAGTCAACTCACACATCAGTGCAAGTCAACACACACACCAGTGCAAGTCAACACACACATCAGTGCAAGTCAAGACACACCAGTGCAAGTCAACACACACATCAGTGCAAGTCAACACACACCAGTGCAAGTCAACACACACATCAGTGCAAGTCAACACACACCAGCGCAAGTCAACTCACACACCAGTGCAAGTCAACACACACATCAGTGCAAGTCAGCACACACCAGCGCAAGTCAACACGCACCAGTGCAAGTCAACACGCACCAGTGCAAGTCAACACACACCAGTGCAAGTCAACACGCACCAGTGCAAGTCAACACACACCAGTGCAAGTCAACAAACACCAGTGCAAGTCAACACACACATCAGTTCAAGTCAACACACACATCAGTGCAAGTCAACACACATATCAGTGCAAGTCAACACACACATGAGTGCAAGTCAACACACATATCAGTGCAAGTCAACACACACATCAGTGCAAGTCAACACACACACCAGTGCAAGTCAACACACACACCAGTGCAAGTCAACACACACACCAGTGCAAGTTAACACACACCAGTGCAAGTCAACACGCACCAGTGCAAGTCAACACACACCAGTGCAAGTCAACACACATCAGTGCAAGTCAACACACACCAGTGCAAGTCAACTCACACATCAGTGCAAGTCAACACACACCAGTGCAAGTCAACTCACACATCAGTGCAAGTCAACACACACCAGTGCAAGTCAACACACACCAGTGCAAGTCAACACACACCAGTGCAAGTCAACACACACCAGTGCAAGTCAACACACACATCAGTGCAAGTCAACACACACCAGTGCAAGTCAACACACACATCAGTGCAAGTCAACACACACCAGTGCAAGTCAACAGACACATCAGTGCAAGTCAACACACACCAGTGCAAGTCAACACACACCAGTGCAAGTCAACACACACCAGTGCAAGTCAACACAGACCAGTGCAAGTCAACACACACCAGTGCAAGTCAACTCACACATCAGTGCAAGTCAACACACACCAGTGCAAGTCAACTCACACATCAGTGCAAGTCAACACACACCAGTGCAAGTCAGCTCACACATCAGTGCAAGTCAACACACACCAGTGCAAGTCAGCTCACACATCAGTGCAAGTCAACACACACCAGTGCAAGTCAACTCACACATCAGTGCAAGTCAACACACACCAGTGCAAGTCAGCTCACACATCAGTGCAAGTCAACACACACCAGTGCAAGTCAACACACCAGTGCAAGTCAACACACACCAGTGCAAGTCAACACACACCAGTGCAAGTCAACACACACCAGTGCAAGTCAACACACACCAGTGCAAGTCAACACACACCAGTGCAAGTCAACACACACCAGTGCAAGTCAACACACACCAGTGCAAGTCAGCTCACACATCAGTGCAAGTCAACACACACCAGTGCAAGTCAGCTCACACATCAGTGCAAGTCAACACACACCAGTGCAAGTCAACTCACACATCAGTGCAAGTCAACACACACCAGTGCAAGTCAGCTCACACATCAGTGCAAGTCAACACACACCAGTGCAAGTCAACACACACCAGTGCAAGTCAACACACACCAGTGCAAGTCAACACACACCAGTGCAAGTCAACACACACCAGTGCAAGTCAACACACACCAGTGCAAGTCAACACACACCAGTGCAAGTCAACACACACCAGTGCAAGTCAACACACACCAGTGCAAGTCAACACACACCAGTGCAAGTCAACACACACCAGTGCAAGTCAACACACACCAGTGCAAGTCAACACACACCAGTGCAAGTCAACACACACCAGTGCAAGTCAACACACACCAGTGCAAGTCAACACACACCAGTGCAAGTCACACACCTTGCTTGCGCTCACTGCAACGCCTGAGACTGTTCCTCCGTGCATCTTGAAGGCCACCTGGTGAGGCATCAAGGGAGAAGGCATGACAGGTAAGGGGAGGAATGGTAATGGTAAGGCGTCAAAGAAATAGAGCACGACAGGGTTGTCTGGGCAACTCGTGAATTGGCATTTCATCTGACAGGTCCATGCATGGCTGGGGTCCATGCATGGCTGGGGTCCATGCATGGCTGGGGTCCATGCATGGCTGGGGTCCATGCATGGCTGGGGTCCATGCATGGCTGGGGTCCATGCATGGCTGGGGTCCATGCATGGCTGGGGTCCATGCATGGCTGGGGTCCATGCATGGCTGGGGTCCATGCATGGCTGGGGTCCATGCATGGCTGGGGTCCATGCATGGCTGGGGTCCATGCATGGCTGGGGTCCATGCATGGCTGGGGTAGATGCATGGCTGGGGTCGATGCATGGCTGGGGTAGATGCATGGCTGGGGTAGATGCATGGCTGGGGTCGATGCATGGCTGGGGTAGATGCATGGCTGGGGTAGATGCATGGCTGGGGTAGATGCATGGCTGGGGTAGATGCATGGCTGGGGTCGATGCATGGCTGGGGTCGATGCATGGCTGGGGTAGATGCATGGCTGGGGTGGAAATGAGATGGTTGGCAATGTGGGTGTGCAGTGGTATGGCGTGGCGGTCTAAATTGCCAAATATGCTTAAAACACTTCGCCTTTAGTGGATGTACGCTGGCTTTTACACACTACACGGCGCAAGCAAATACGCTATAAGCAATCGGAAAACAAAATAGGCTGCCCGAGAAAAGAAAACACGAATTAGATGGGGATTTTCTTGGTGAGCATTTTGCGGAAGTCGAATGCAACTCCGTGGTCCAGGCAAGCGGGGATATGACCTCAGATTTTCCAGGCACATCTGGCAAAGCGAAAGTTGAATTTCAAATGTACACATTGTAACCCATCCCATCTACCGCATTGAACCCCATCTCATCTACAAACTTCAACTTGTAAAAATCGGAGGTGGGGAGTGGTAGTGCGGGTGGGGGGTGGGGTGGGGAATGGGCGTGAGATATGTGTAATAAGCACCATCAAGCCATGCAATCTAATGCATCACACTTGTTACTGCTCCTATGTCACTAACACCTACCTCTGCCACTCTCAAACACTGATCATATCATATCATATCATATCATATCATATCATATCATATCATATCATATCATATCATATCATACTAAATCATATCAAATCATACCATAACATAACATAACATACCTTACCTTACCATATCAAATCATATCATACTACTCCCTAGCTTTCCTGACATGCATAACCTGGTAGCATGCAACTTCATGATAGCATGCCGAATTCCTCCGCATACAACATTGACGATGCCTCATTATATTACTATGCCACATCAAGAAGTATGATGTCACATCATTGAAGCAACAAGTAACATAGCAGCATACCACCACCAACAGAGCATGGAACATGATGATAGAACGCACCTTGGCATAATCAAACGCATCTCGACAAAACGGGTCATCCCAACCAGACCCCCTCACACCGCGCACAACCCCTCCCTCCTCCACCCCCACTCCCTCATCCTCCTCCTCCACCCCTTCGTCCGCAACCCCCTTCCTCTCCCCCTCCTTCTCCCCTTCTCCCCCTTCCCCTGTCGGATGGAAAAACACCGACCCGGAAAAGGAAACTTCCAGCGTCTTTCCCGAGTATCCCCGTGCAAAGATCCGCCACTCAATTAAGTGTTCGGTGTGGGTAACTACCCCCAAAGACGGGGGCGCAGCAGAGACCGTCAGAATGCGGCGCCGTGGGAAGGGCATGTGCAGGGTGCATTGCTCCATGTTACAGGGCGGCTTGTACCCATCCATAATCCGGAGCTTAAGTAAGAACTGGGACTCGGTGGGAGAAACGAATTGGTTCTGGTAAAAGCCGACGACGGGAGGGGTTCGCATGGAGGCTAGAAGGCGGGCGAGAGAGGTGGGGGCAGTTGGGGGTTTGGGGGAGAAGAAGGAGGAGGAGAGGAAGGAGGGGGTGGAGGGAGGGGCGGAGGGGGTGGTGGGGGAGGGAGGAACCCGTTGCTGCTGCATCTGTGCTTGCTGCTGCTGCTGCTGCTGCTGCTGCTGCTGCTGCTGCTGCTGCTGCTGCTGCTGCTGCTGCTGCTGCTGCTGATGCTGTTGCTGCTGCTGCTGTTGTTGTTGCTGTTGCAGTTTCTGTTGCAATTGCTCCGGGGTGGTGGGCAGGCAGCAGTGGTAGTTGACCAGGTCGAATGCCCCCAGAGGCGGGCTGAATGAGACTGTGTGCTGATGGGAGAGCTGTGAGAGGTAGAATCAGAGGACAATGAGGAAAGGGAGGGGAGAAAAGGGGAGAGCGGAGGAGGGAGAGAGCAAGGGATTGAAGGCCCTGGCGGCAGGCAGAAGAAGACAGTGTGCCAGTTAAAGAGCTCTTAAAAAGGTTCAAACAAGGGAAGTGGCAGCGATTGTTGGGAGAAGTTGAACACGCCCAAAAAAAAAAAAACACGGATATTTCTACCTGCGAATGTACATGAATTTTCACCTGAAAATTCACCTGACGTGAGAACCAGCAAAAGGCATCACCTGAGCGCATGGATGCACAACAAGGGACTCCACACACGCGTCTTCTGGCACGTCCAATGAGAGCGTGACATCTGGCAGACCCTCCACCTCCCATCGTGTGGTAACCCTACCGGTTACACTCACCACATCTGCCACCTCCCCCTCCCTGTCATACAGAGCTACACTCACTTCTTCTACAACTGCTACGGATACCCTCTGTTTTCCGGTGTAAAGCACTGGTTTCCCCACCGGCTGCCTAAAAGTGTCTCTTAGAGAGTCTACTGACACGCCTAAAGTTCCGCCGAGGCCTTTAAGTGCCGCCTCTGCTCCATCTGCTCTTCCTGCCTGCTGCTGCTGCTGCTGCTGCTTCGGGTGTGGTTGGTTGGTGGTTTTGCTCGAAAGGAGAGAGGCGGAGGGGGGGGAAGGCGGTTGCAGGTAGGGTGAGAGGTCCTGGGAGTAGGCCGCAGGTTGGGTGCGGAGGGTGGTGATGGTGGCAGGGGTGGGGAAGTCAATGGGTCGACCTGCAAGCAAGCAAGGCCATGTTTTAGGAATAGTGGGGGTGGATAAAGGGAGGATAATGGGGTCTGATTTACAAGGAGAATTGCTCTGAATAGCTCCCCATCACTAATTCAGCCGCAGCTCTACCCCTCCCCCCACCCAAACCATCCCTTCCACTTCCCAAACCCTCACTTCAATGGCATTAGTTCAATATTCAGAACCAGCAGAAAGCGCATGTCTTACCAAAGGGGAGGTACGTTGAGATGAGAAGCCTGATTCCCTCCAACTCAGCCGCTTTCAGCTGCTGCACCATCACCCCACCTCCTCCCCCACCACCCTGCCTCCCCACATCCCCTCCTCCCGAACCTCCGGCCATGCCTGGCGCCGAACCAAGCTGGCTGGTTTGGGCGGTCTTGGCTCGGGACATTCCCATACTGGCCCCTATCGCCCCCAGCAACCCAAACCCTAAGCCGCTCCCTCCTGCTGCTGCCCCTCCCTTTCCTCCTCCCGCTCCTCCACTCCCCATTTCCCCTCCAGAAGCAGCGGCAGCAGCGGCAGCAGCAGCAGCGGCAGTGCTAGTACTGCTGCCAATGGTGCTGGTGCCTAAAGCACCAGCCTTCACACCAACACCCACCCCTCCCATCCCTCCTCCTCCGCCTCCTCCCCCTCCAGAGAGGGAGATAGAGGGGAGGGTGGGGGAGGGGGCGGAGGGGGCGGAGAGGAGGGGGGAGGTGCGAGGGGGCACGGTGGGAGTGGCAGATGAGTCTGTTGAGATGAGGGACTCGATGCACTGAGCAAGCAAGATGGCCCTGAGGGAAGGGAGAGCGGGAGTGAAGGGGGAGGCAGCAAGGGTGAGAAGACGCGTTGAGAGCAGAGGAGGAAGGCACGGTAGGGGTGGCGGTAGAATCAGCAGAGAGGAGGGACTCGATGGTCTACAGAGCAAGGGATATGGTTCTGGGGGTGGGAGAGGGCTAGGGAGGGCGAGGAGTCGAGAAAGAAGGCATGCAAGACAACAAAGGTTTTGCACTGTAAGGTGGAATGGAAGGGTAACCTGCAAGCAAGCAGCACAGAGACTTGCAAGTTGCAATCGAATGACTCACTCACGCTGTCACAGCAGGTAGGTCAGCAAGCAGAGCAGACAGCGTGAATGCACTGGCACCACTTGCACCAGTACCACCGCCCCCAGAACCAACCATCCCTCCCTCTGCTGTCCCCCCTCTTTCTCCCCCTCCCCCTCCCCCTCCCCCATGCGCCAACCCCGCCCCTCCCCCGCAGTTGCGCTGCCAGCACAGCCTCTCATAGGCTGCCACATGGCAGGGCGCCACCAATGGGAGCACGAGAACGTGCACATTGGAGGCCTTGGAATGGGGGTGCACTATGATTGGCCAGAGGAGTGTGGGTGCGGAGGGAGGTGGGGGGGGAGGGGGAGGGGAAGAGGGGGTGGAGGGGGATGCGGGGGGTGCTGGCTGGTCTGTTACTGTCTCTGGAGTTTGTTCAGATGTTTTTCCAGGTGTTTCTTCAGGTGTGTCTTTAGCGAGTCGAGATTCTGTTGGATCTGCTTCTGAAGTTGCTGCTGCTGCACATGTTCCTGTCTCGGTTGGGCTGCCGCCATTCCCCCCTGCCTTCCAAGCCAAAGCATCTCCTCGCGACCCTTCATCCGCTTCTACTGCACGTGCTCCTGCTGCTGCTGCTCCCCCTTTTCCCTCTTCCCCTCTTCCACCCTTCCCTCCCTCTACGCCCCCTTTTCCCCGAGGCTTCAACGATTCTTTAGCCTGGGTGGTGCTGGTGTGAGTGCGCAAGTGGGAGGCGGGGAGCGTAGGAGTGGTGCTGACGAGGCGCAGCCCGATGACGTGGCGTGTGATGGGGTCGTCCAGCCACTCATCTGTGCCGATGACAGATGTCACGCTGCGAATGGCTGGAGAGGATACGAGGCTGATGGGGAGGAGAGGGAGCGAAAATGGGAGAATAAGGAAATAGGGAGGGAAGAGAGCAGAGACGGAGGAAATGACGAAGAGGGATATGGGAATAGAGATGGGACGGGGGGCAGCGGGACGGAGGCTTATTTCATTGCCACACAATACGTCACCCAATGTGTACTGAAGGCAATTCACAACAAGCACAGTCACACCGCCTATTGCTGCTCTCATCACCATACATCTCACCGCTGCATGTGTTGTGCAAACGCGATGCTGATCTCGTCATCCAGAGGAATCGGCCGGTACGTCACCGGGGGAGGCGCCTTCCCAGGCTTGCCCTGCCCTCGTGAAACGGAAGATGAGCCCTGGTGGTGGGGATGTGCACGTTGGGGGGTTAGATGAGCCCTGGTGGTGGGGATGTGCACGTTGGGGGGTTAGATGAGCCCTGGTGGTGGGGATGTGCACGTTGGGGGGTTAGATGAGCCCTGGTGGTGGGGATTTGCAGGTTGGGGGGTTAGATGAGCCCTGGTGGTGGGGATGTGCACGTTGGGGGGTTAGATGAGCCCTGGTGGTGGGGATGTGCACGTTGGGGGGTTAGATGAGCCCTGGTGGTGGGGATGTGCACGTTGGGGGGTTAGATGAGCCCTGGTGGTGGGGATTTGAAGGTTGGGGGGTTAGATGAGCCCTGGTGGTGGGGATTTGCAGGTTGGGGGGTTAGATGAGCCCTGGTGGTGGGGATTTGCAGGTTGGGGGGTTAGATGAGCCCTGGTGGTGGGGATTTGAAGGTTGGGGGGTTAGATGAGCCCTGGTGGTGGGAATTTGAAGGTTGGGGGATTAGATGAGCCCTGGTGGTGGGAATTTGAAGGTTGGGGGGCTAGATGAGCCCTGGTGGTGGGAATTTGAAGGTTGGGGGGTTAGATGAGCCCTGGTGGTGGGAATTTGAAGGTTGGGGGGTTAGATGAGCCCTGGTGGTGGGAATTTGAAGGTTGGGGGGTTAGATGAGCCCTGGTGGTGGGAATTTGAAGGTTGGGGGGTTAGATGAGCCCTGGTGGTGGGAATTTGAAGGTTGGGGGGTTAGATGAGCCCTGGTGGTGGGAATTTGAAGGTTGGGGGGTTAGGAGAGTGTAGGGACGGAGAGACGGGAAGGGGAGGGGGGGGGGGGGGGGGGAGGGAAGCGGGGGGAGGGAGCCTAGCCACACCAGCACTGTTAGTGCTGCAACCTGTGGTACTGCTATGTATTATATCAGCAACAGACGAAGCACCGGAGTAGCAAGGAAGGTGCCGTGTTTACATGCAGTTGAAAACTGGCGCACCCTCTCACAGCAGCATGGCGTGCTTGTGACTTTTATATTGTTCTAATGCTATTTGAATGCTGTTCGAATGCTGTTCCATGCTGACTTCGCACTGAACCCAGAAGTCAACTTGTGGTGACATTTTTCATACGGTGCATTGCTACTCTCCATGTCACAAAGCAGAAGCAGGAAGAATGTTAAGAGAGGTGAATGTGAAAAGGCACACACAGAGAGAATCCCCTCTTAGTCAGGGGACCAATGAGGCCCTGGCCGCGGACGAGCTAGGCATGCAGGGACCCTTCGCCCCTCTTAGTGAGGGGCAGCTGCACCAGCTGATTGAGCCCCCGTTCGACCAGTAGGGTCGGACAGAAGGGGGCGGAGTGGGTGGGAGATTTGTGGTAGGTAGGATACCGGTTTGCTAGTTTGTTTAGCATGTGTTTGCATCTTCCTTTGTACCAGACCTTAATCAATGCAAGGACTATTCGAGAGAATCCCCAGTGGCTGTGAATACTTTGGAGGCGCCTCAAAAGAGAATTCCCAGTGGCTGGGCCGAATATGCCAGCGTGCCTCACTGTTGCGACTATATCGTGTACTGCAAACATAGTGTTGTTGCTTACTGTAGAGAAGCTGTAGTACTAGTTTGTAATGATATGCATGTTCTACTGTACAGCCACTGTGGTGACTGATTCGGTTCGGCTGAAAAGTCACCTCAGGAGCCACCGTACCACTTACTGTAGCATGTTCTGCAGAAGCAGGTGACGTGGCACAGAGCAGGCGCCACTGGCGGTCCACTGTCGGGAATCGGCTGTGGATCGACACGTCACACGTGAAAAGACGGAACCACGTCAGCAGATGGGCAGTTGAGAAGAAGAGGGATTGCAGGTGGTGACGTAAACCAGACATGAGCAATGGTCCGGGCCAGCCCACGGCCTGACACGTGCTCATGCCTGACACGTGCTCATGCCTTAAAAAAACGGGCGTGACGAAAGAAGCGACCACTCCACAAGAAGACTGATATGCTGAAGCTGGAACCTCCAACACTAAGCACCACGTGTTCAAATTCCTGCCACGTGGCGAGTCGCGAGTCACTCACCGTGAGAAGAGGATGCTGCAGGTTGGGTCGGAGGGAGCAGCCGCCGACCCGCCGTACGCTAGGTGGTGAGCCACCACCCACACGGCCCGGATGGCGCAATCTCCGCCGTTCATTTTCCGCTCTCGGCTTCGGGATGCGGCGTTAAAGATGGATCTCGGAACTAATAGTTCCTAGCGTACTCGGATGGATCACGTTCCTGACGTGTGCTGCTTTCGCTAGAGAGGGATAGACCACTGTCTGACGTGTGCTTCCTTCGCAACCATCGGAAGAAGGCTCGAGCGTCGTGGAAAATCGAGTCGACGAGTAGCTGCTGCTCAGTCGTCTAGCGACGTCAATGGTCGGCCATGCGTCGAGATTGGTCGTTTATGCGACGAGAATGGTCGCCCACGCGACGATAATGCTGCCAGACGGCTCGGAAATCTCGTGAATCTGGCTTTGACGGACGGCTAGAATCTTGCAATGATCACACTCGGCAATCACTCGCACATTTTGAAAAATTTCGCGCTGAATGCGTCAGTAACGAATCCTCGATACAAGCCACGGAATAAGGACACTAATAGAGATTATTTTGCCGCTAAAAGGCGAAGCGAAAAAATATGCGGAGTTCGAAGCGCTTTCCTCGCGCAAAAGGCGAGAGGAAGAAATATGCGGCTTGTACAAGCTCACCACAGAAAAAGAGGAAACTTGCTGTGGAGAACATAACGGTGAAGTCAATAGGGAGTGCATACATTTCACCCTTTTGCTTGAGCAGGCAGTAACGAGTCACACTGACGAAGTTACAACGCCTGACGAAAACTTCACAGTGACGATTCGCGATATGCGTTGGGCGTGCTCTCAACTCGGATCCTCCTAGCGGGTCTGGGCGCGTTACAGTTAGGAGTGCAAAATATTTGACGCAGGTTCAAGTTGTATCTCGAGGCTGTACTAAGGGCGCGTAACCATTTTGCACCCGACGGTTCGAACCGTGGACCGTCTGGGTAGCGAAACGGTAAGAAGATTCGGACAGTTTCGTTATCATGTTCGCTGAGATGTTGGCGACATCGCCAACAAAACGGACTGTAGTGACACTTTTTCCCACTTCAACGGTCCGAAATCTGAACCGTGGACGGTCCGAATCCCAAACGGACTGTCCGACAGTCCTTGCACACGATTGGAGGGCGACGCAAAAACTGTCGAGTCACCTCGTCCACCAACAAAAACGTACGAGGCTACTTTACGAATCGACATCGACCAACCAGAGACAACCCATAAACAAAAATGATTCGAAAACGACATTCGCGAGTTTAACAGATTTGCGTAATGCTTTCGCAGTAATCGCGAAACTGTACATTATGAAAAAAGTGTCACAACTGTCTTCGGACAGTCCGAAGTTGCAAAAAAGTCAGTCGGACGGTCCCGTTCTCGATAGGTGGACCGTCCACTTCGTTTAAGCGGACTGTCCGTCAAAATCGCAAAATGCAAAATGGTTACGCGCCCTAAAACCCGAAGCTTGAAGGAACTGCCCCTTCCCTCCGCTGCTCTCGCTTGGGCATGAACTTGTCGTTGACGAATAAAAGGAGCCACGGTCCTCTGATTGTTGGTTGGTCGGCGGCGGGGTTGGTTGGTTGGTGAAAAATGACTCGAGATGTACTGTACAGCGTACAGCGCTAAGTGTAAACTCAAAGACGGCCTAAAGCCGTGTCGCTCGCCTGCTACTAACTGAAGGGCAGTCGTTTTGATATTGCGTCCTTTTGCAGACCACTGGCGCCGCTAACAAGGCTTCAGCTGCGTTAGAAGATTAACGGTAGGCGCTGGGCTTAGCGCGTTCAGCATGAAACTTCCCTCCGAGGCAGCGGTCGCGTTTGTAACAAGTGTAACCAAGTGTAACACGTCTGGTCTGCGCCAGCGGTGTACTAGAAACTCTGGTGAAGGCTCAGTTTTACGTCAGGCAGTCTAGAGTCGAGGTGCACTATGGCGGGTACAATGAAGCGAACGCGGAAGCTGCAGATTAGCTGCGGGGACGAGGAGGACGATTCGTTTCCCAGCCATGGGCTATGGGAGATAAGGAATGCTGACGTGGACAGCGGCTCGACGATAGAGTCCAAGCCAGGCGGTGCTACTGGTAGTGGTAGCGGAGCTGCGCGGTCTAGTTTAGAGACGTCCTTAGTAAGAGAAAGCTCAGTGATTCCTACTCCTAGCACCACCACCACCGTAACGACAAGCATTGCCGACTTTAACTCGTCGGGATATGGCGATTCGGTATCTTCCGCTTGGGACCACATTTTAGGAAGCGACGCGACTCCCACCGGAAGCGGCGGTCGCGGCTTGCATGATTCCCCTCTCACTCCCACCCCGCCAACTCCGATACACGACAAAATCCTCCAGTCCACGTCGATCGAGATCGGCCACGTCGGCACGCTGACGTGGCGCCAGCTGGCGGTTGACCGCGATTTGAGGCTGATTTCCTGGTGGCACCACGTGCCGCTTTACAGCCGCGACGGGCTGCTTAATTTCGTCTGCGCGACGCCTAGAGGCTCGTGGATTAAGTACGAGGTAGCTCAGAACGAGGAGTTCACCCCGCTTCGAATTTCCCAGTTTCCCTCCACGAACGGTTACTCGAAGCCGGCGCATTTCGCGGAGAACGCGACGCGGTTCACCCTAGGTTTTCTCCCGCAGACGTACGCGGACCCCGCGCAGCCCAACCCCGACTATGGCGGCCTCGCGTACCAAGGCGGTCCGATGGACGCCTTGCTGCTGGATCTTAATGACGCGTCGCGAGCCGGGTTCGCCTCGTCGGTTAGTCTGTCTAATAGTATGCTGCCGTCCCGCGATTTGCGGACAGGGGATGTGTGTCAGGTGAGAGTAGTCGGCGCGTTCGCGGTCGTACAGCAGAAGAGCCGCCTTTCCTGGAAGCTTCTTGCCATTCCCGCGGCGCCGGGTAGCAGTAGTCGAGGTGGCGGTGTCGGTGAGGATGACGTGGCTGATCGGATCAGTGACGTGGCAGACGTGCATGCGCTGTTCCCGGGCCTGCTGGACGACATTCGCGAATGGCTGCGATTCTGCGACTGCGTTGATCCAGGTAAGTCAACGACGTGAGGCCGTATAAATAGATATCCGCCGTATCTGGGTTTTATGTTACTGGATTCCTGTCCCCTCTCTCCCCCTGTCGCTTGCTCACTCGCCCACCGCCGCGTCCCCTCCCTTTTCCTCACTTGTTTTTCCCCTGCCCCGCACGTTGTCTCGCCGCTACAAGGGGGGAACGTGCTGGCTCAACTAGGGAACCTCTTCCCCCTTTATTGCATGGATCGCTCTCCCTTCTTCTCTGAATCTATCCACTTATGTACTTTAGGCACCCGATTACGAGTATTGCTTGCCGATTGGACGAGTAAATCTTAGCAAGCCAGGGCGAGATTTAACCTGGTTTCCTGTTGAAAAGAGGGGAAAATCAACCACCCCCTTGTCACAAGAGCGCATTGAAGTAGAATTGGCGGATATGCGCACTTACCGACCTTTGGATATCGCTACAATCATTCAGTCACTAGGATCCATTACTAGCAGGCTTTCCGATTATTTAGGCCTATACAGAAAGTGAATAGTGCTTCCTTTTCTCGTTTAGTGATTGCTAAGTGTCACCCCATTTCTTAGGCCTTTCTTTTCTGGCACGACCATTATCTTACATTTCATTACAATAAATGGAAATAAAGTTATTTCCGTTATCTCTGTTAGAACGGCAATAGAGTTATTTCCGTTGTTTTCCGTTATCAACTTATATTGCGTGTGTAACCTACTTTGAAATCTTTGGGATAAGACTGATGTAGCGTACCTAATTCAATAGCAGCATTAGGTGTAATGAATCTTTCTTCTAAAAAGCTTATTGAATCTCCAGGTGCCTTGATTTCCCCCACCCCCCGGCCCCTTTCCTCTCTCCTCCGCTACAGACGATGAGGAGAACGAGTTCGGGCTCAACCAAAGGGCCGGCGCTGCTGACGTGGCGCTGGCAATCATTGCGCAGGCTCATGCTTCCTGGCAGCTTCTCACGGACGACAGCCCGCCGCCCTCCCCCTGGAGCCCCGCCAACCTCGTGCTCTCGGCGCGTGTTCTCCAGGAAAAATGGCGGAAATACACTGATCAGTATTATAACGAGGCAGATAGTAAAGGAGATCGGAAGAGTGGCAGCTGGGAGGGTGAGAGGGGGGGAAGGGCGTTCAGTGTGGGGAGCTTGGGAAGCTGGCAGGGGGGAGGTGGGAGTGGGAGTTTGAGTGGTGGTGGTGCTGCTGCTGCTCCTCCACTTAACCTCCCGTTTGTTCCGTTCAGCGATCCCACCACCTCGAGGGCTGAAAGGAGGTTCGACAGGGCGTGGGAGGAGACAAGCAGAGCAGGCTCGTTTTCTGGCAGCAGCACCCGCTCGTTTTTGCATGCCGCCACTGCTGCTGCTGCAAATGGTGATGCTGGTGGGAGTGGTGTTGGAAACGGCTTGCGGTTTGGCGGCTCTTATAAGGATTCTCGGGTCAGCTCTTACGGAGGATCGTCCGAAGGGCCTACTATGGTAGGGGGGGAGCTGAGGACTTGCAAGTCAGGCCCCATGGTAGTGCGGTTTGGAGTGGTGGAGCGGGAGGAGAGGGAAGAGGGGAGTAATTGGGGTAGGGAAATGGAGGGAAATCAGGAGGAAGAGGAGGAGGGGCACGGTAGCAGGTCGTACAGGTCGGTAGAGTGCGGTGGAATGCAGTCTGGTGCAGTCCAAACAAGCACTGGTGCGTTGAAATCAGCAGCTGGGGGGACAGCAGCAGCTGTGGCACCAGCAGCAGGGGCACCAGCAGCAGGGGTGGTGGCGGTAGCAACGGCAGGTTCTATTCGTCGGTGCTGTTCTGCATTCGACTCACCTGGCCTCTCGGACCAATCACCAAGCGTGCCAGAGGCACCATATGACACGTCACATGGACCGACATTTGGCAGCAGCACTGCATTTGCGGCTGCTGGTGATGGTGGGTGGAGGATGAAGGCTCGTCGCAAGTCGGGGTCATGGGATTTCGGCAACATGACTGTTGGAGGGGTGTGGATACCCGACGCTCTAGCAGCGCGTAACAGCGTTACCACTGATAACACAGTAACATCTCTTGCCACTGCTGCGTTCGCTGACACTTCCGCCCCTGATGAAAATCTCATTGCCACTGTAGCAGAGGTGACTAACGGTAACCGTGTAACACTAGCAGGTAACAAGGCACAAGCCACAGAGCACAGCAGAGGCTTCCCTCTCTTTAGACACAGCAGCTTGAACCGCGCCTTACTTAACGATCACAGGACAGCATTGGCCAGGCTCGGCGCGCTCTGGGGCACGGGAGGAGGCTCGGACCGACCTCCTCCAGAACCTGACACGCAGGTTCGGGAATCCTCCAAGCCTGATGGCGAGGTTCGGGGATCTTCCAAGCCTGACGGGGCGGTTCGGGCAGTGCAGCGGCGGTGGGGAGGTTGGAGGTACGGGCCTATGGGGGGGCGAATGGGTGAGCGTGAAGGGAGTGAAGGTGGAGCAGGTGGGACAGCTGCAGCAACAGCTCTAGCAGCAGGACCAAGAGCAACAAGAGCAGCTTCGGCAGCAGCGCCGGCAACTGCAGCAGCAAGAGCAACAGCAGCAGCAGCAGCAGCAGCAGGCGGGGCAATAAGATCAGGGGAAGTGAGTGTAACGCCAAGACCCCTCACAGCTGAAAGTCCCTCCGTGGGAGGTGGTGGTATTGGTGGTGGCAGGAGGAGGAGGGGGACACAGGGCACCAACAACTGGCCATCCCTCTCCTCATCCTCGTTTGGAGACGCCTCGATAGCAGACACACTCGATCTCGCATCGCCGCGCACCAGCCTGAGTGACGCCTGGGATCAGGCCCTCGTCTCCTCTCTCGATGATGACGCGTCTCTGCTTTCCCTGCCACCCGTCCTCGCTTTTTTGTGGGATACTGCAGGCGCAGTTGCCACTGGTGCTATTGCTGGGTCAGTGAGGGGCGGGGAACAGCAGGGCGGAAGTGGTGGGGCGTGTGTAGCATTGCAGACGAGGGAGATTCTGGCGTTCTCTCACAGGCTTGTTGCTGGGGTGGAGGCCGCTGCCGCTGCTGCTGCCGTGGTCGCAGAAAGGGTAGGCGAAGCAGCAGCGACAACAGGGGGGGGAGGAGCAGCAGGATCAGCAGCAGCAGCAGCAGCCAAGGCTGAGCAGGAGGGTGTATGCAGCATTGGCAACGGAAGGCAACAGATGGAAACAGTTGATTCAGGGTTAGGGAGTGGAGGAGAGGCTGGTGGGGCATGCAGCAGGGTTTGGGCCCCCTTGGAGTGTAATGCTTCTGCTGCAAGGATGGACCCGTGTGACTGTAGGCTGGGTGACAGTAGTGGGATGCAGGGCAGCAGCAGGAGTTTAGGAGCACGGCCCGTCACAGCAGCATCGTCTATAGCATCAGTAGCTTCAACCTCTTCTGTGGTCACGGCCGCTGCTTGCCATGGTACGGGCATGGAATCACCAAAAGCAGAGATGAGAGGGATGGGAGAGGACGGAACGGGAGTGGGAGAGATCTCATTGGGCATCTCCCTTCCAACTACCCCGTCTCTCCCGTCCTCCCTTCCCTCCCCCACCTCCACCGTTTCCTCTGCCACCATCAGCATCCCCCGAACCTACAGCAGCTCTGGGTATGGGTTGAGCCCGCCGAACCTAAGAGGGCAGGTGCGGAGTGAGGTGCTACAGTTGCCAGCATGGGTGGATGAGAGATTAGGAGCAAGAGGGAATGGAGAGGGTTCGGGGATGGGGAGAGCGTGGAGGAGTGAGGAGTTGGATGTGAGTGGGAAAGAGAGGGAGTGTGCAATTCGGAGGATTGGAAGCTTGGGGGAAGGTAGTGCGGTTGGGAGCGGTATTAGTGGTTATGGTACGCGGGAGTCCTCATGTATTAGTGATGTGGATGGAGCCTTGCATTCCAAGCCTTTTAACTGGAACGAGATAACTCTATATGGAGGAAACTCGGGCAGGAGAAATTTCAATAAGAGTAGTGAACTGGGGAGTAGTAGTGAGCAGGAGAGGGAGGGGGAGCGAGAGAGAGAAAGGCAGAGAGAGAGGGAGAGGGAGAGGGAAAGGGAGAAGGAGAGGATGAGGGAGAGAGAGAAGAAGGCAGAGAGGGAGAGAGCAAGGCATAGGAGCATGGGAAGTACTGTCAGCACGTCAAGCATAGCAGCTAGCATTGATGCTTGCGAGGTGTCAAGCATGCAAGCCGAAGCTGGTAGGAGCCCCAGTACCAGCCCTGCCAGCAGCCCGGGTAGCAGCCCGGGTGCCAGCCCCGATGGTAGTCCTCGAACGATTTCCAGAAACAGCCACGGCCACCGCAGCAGCATTGGCAGCATGGGGAGCTTGCACGGCCACTGCAGCAGCAGTAGTAGCATTGGCAGGGTGAGTAGCATGGGAGATCTGACTACGATGGTTGTTGATGCCGATGGAAATGCGGATGGAGGTGACTCTATTGCTTCTAGTGACGGGAGGGAGGGAAGGTGGAGAATGGGCGGACTAAGAGGAGGAAAGAGGGGCTCGGGAGGAGGAGAAAGGTTGTGGAGGGTAAGTGGAGGGGAGGAGGAGCAGGGGGAGGGGGATGGTGGATACACGAGTGAGACTGGCAGCTCTAGAAGCAGCTTCGGGTACCGCCGGTTCGGACGATCCTCTTGGTCCAAACCAAACCTATCTCTTCCGAAGCTGTCAACGGCATTACTGTCTTCAGATTCCAAAGGGGGCGACCATTTAACACCCAGACCTAAGCCTGTTCGCTCTGCCAAGCCTAATTCCGGACCTGCTACCTCCGAGGCTAGTGCTGAGCCAAGCTCGCAGAAACGGCAGCACCAGCATTCGATGTTCGCACTGCTAGGTCCGGTAAGAAGCTTGGAATCATGGGCCCGAAGCTCAAGTCCAGGTACGGTGAGGTATTACCAGGGACGAGGGAGGGAATCAAGTGGGGATTGGAGCGAGGGGGAAGGTCAAGGCGAGGAGCATGGGAGGACGAAGGATGGAGAGGCACGAGGAAGCAGGAAGGCGGTGTTTAGGAGGGAACGGGAAGCGATAAAAGGTGAAGATAGGGGAGGGGAGGAGGCAAGAGAGAGAAGAGGAGCGTTGTTGCCGCCGCTTTCTGCTGCTCCCCTATCCAGGACTGCCTCTGCACCCATCCACTCACACTCACTCACACTGAACCCCACACTGACCCACACACTAACACTCCCACCCACACTCACCCCTATTTCCACTGACCAAAGGCACCAGACATCTATGTCTGTTCACTCATTGAAGTCTTCTGCACACCATCTTTCCTTCAACGAGGCAGCTTATACTAAGGCTCTGGACGGGGATCAATTCTCGACACCTGCTTATAAAGGAGATGCCACTCACGGGGATAATTGCGGTGGTTTAGACCGGGGGAACGGGGAAGGTGTGGGGGAGAAGAGAGGGGTCCCGAGGGGTGGGCTGAAGCAGTCCTTGAGCTGGGAGGAAAGAGGAGGGAGCAAAGCCGTTTCGATTTCTCATCCCCTTTTGAAGGTGTTTCAATCAGAGTTGCAGGGTGCAGAAGGGACAGAGTCGGAAGGGGAGGAGAGGAGGGAGCAAGCATGGGAGAGGAAGAGGGAGGAGGAGAGGGAGAGGGAGTGGGAGAGGGAGAAGGAGCGGTTTGTGGTCGGGAGTGTGAGTTTCAGGGAGGCAGCAAGGAAGGAGGAGAGGGGTAGTGAGAGTAAAGGAGTTATGGACAAAGAGGATGGAGGTGTAATGGCGACTGGCGGTTGTGTGGGTGGTAGTGCACAGGAGGAACGGTCTAGGAAGATGAAGAGGCAGGTGTCATTCAATTCGGTTGTGAAGGTCTATGAATATGACAATGTGCAGTAATTGTTGATGTACCACCACCACCATGTGAAGTACTATGACTCTGCAGTTGACACCTTTCAAGCGGACAGATGTCCCAGATTCGCAAGAGCAGGATACCTGCATTGTTCCCTTACATTGTTCTGCTTGTTGCTTTGAACAGCTTTAAAACCTGACAAAACAAAATACAGTTGAACATCTTATCAGATCAAGAAGTTGAAACAATATAGGTGTTACCATAAGCTTACCTCTGATCCCACGCTCACGGCAGAATAAGTGATTACGGGCCTTTATGATGATATATCATCATTAATATGAAGCTGGTGCAGACTGCTGCATACGAATTCCAGAACTGATTTGGATTTAGACTCTCCTATCCCATCTGATGATCAACACATTGATCACACTCAGGCCCTCAGATTGGTTTCAGGGCATGCTGATCGATCAGTGTGCAGTGTCCAAAGTGGTGTCCAAATCAGCCTTGGGGGTTAAATTTATGCTGATTTTCTCTGTGTAAAATTTCAAAGCAAGCTAAAGCATTAGTGTTAAAATATTCACTGCCCGATTAGAACGGTGTTGCTAGCGTAGTTGTTTGTGTCATGTCTTGCAATTGCAAAGGTTTCGGGGTCGATTACCGTAGACGAGAACAACCTGAGTGGGCCGCGAGTTCTTCTTGCGGGTATTCTGGTTTGAACACCCCCTGCACACCCATACCCTATCATGTCCGAATCACTGTGACTCAGTACACTATACTGATTCGTCAGTGCTACTTATACAGCAACACGCAAAATGGTCAGTGTGACAAAATAGGTTATACTGAAATTTCAGTGCAAAATTGAAGCATATGCTGAATTTTCAGGGAAAACGAAAATCTGAGCTACAAAATCAGCGTAATCAGCGTGTTTTACACTGATATCTGAGGGCCTGATCACACTCATCAGCAGGCCCTCAGATTGGTTTGAGAGGGTATGCTGATGGATCAGCGTGCCCCGGTTGCCCAGGTGTCCAAATCAGCGTTCATGGTTTTCTTTATACTGATTTTGCCAGTGTAAAAGTTATAAGTAAACTGAACCATCAGTGTAAAAAAGAAATACAAAGTTGAATTTCCCGTTCAAAATTTGTCGCTGTGAGAGTTTATTCCAGCGATGCAGAACACGTCGGCACGCGATCTGTACAGCGCATGCATCGTTAAGTGTGTGAGTGAGGTCTCGCGAATCCCGGGCCAGGTACAGACTGTACACACGCGTACCACCCCGAATCGGTCTAGTCCGTTTCAGTGTGACTCACGACACTACACTGATTCGTCAGTGTTCCTTGTACAGCAACACGGAAAATGGTCAGTGTGGCAAGGTATGTTATACTGAAATTTCAGTGCAAATTTGAAGCATATGCTGAATTTTCAGGGAAAACGAAAATCTGAGCTACAAAATCAGCGTAATCAGCGTGTTTTACGCTGATATCTGAGGGCCTGCTCATCAGATTAAGGCATGTCCCGGGCTCTGACACTCATCAAACACGGTACTGTGACTTGACTTGTTGTTTGTGATGAGAGCCGTGGCCAGCTGATATCATTGTTAAAAATGGAGGTCTCTGGATTGGTTGATGTACGACTTCTCATTTCCCCTGAAGCAGGTACCCAGGGTCGACAAATGTGTCCTCAACAGAAGTGACAATGAAGCATTAAGTTCCTGATGCAAAGCTCAACAGTGTTAGTTACAAGGCATAAAAAAGTGACTCCAGTCACTCCACCCAGCACTTGGTACGAAAAAAAAAGGCATCAGAATGTTTCCGCATGAAGTGGTGGCCTCATGATGAACGTGACTCGTACTAAGCTTAAACATTCCCACTATAACAGCCATTTACTGTCTCTGCACGAGAAATAAGCGTCAAGGGAGAGTCAACATTTCAGGGCTAAAAGAAGCGACATTCTCACCGTGTGGACGGGTGACTGGAAACTAAGCTTAAACTTGTGCATTCTCATATCCACCTGCGTGCACATAAAGCAGTGAACCGGGTTTAGGACGGTAAACAAGCATTACTAGCCGATTTAAATTTCTAGCATTGACTAAGCTGTTTTGTAAAGTCTTTCAACCAGCTTGACACGCTTCCATGTAAGATTCACTAGGACCAGCATTTTTTACGGTATCGGTGAGACATCACAGGTTTATGACCGAATGGTCGGCGACTGACTTTCACATGTACACTTGGCAACGTGGACGTTCTTAGGAAAATAATATTACGCTCTCGCTCTTATCTGTTCCTCGACCTGAACTGCTATGAGAGTGCTCATATTGATGGCCTCTAGCAGGAATGACGCTTCTAGCAGTAATCTTGCTTCTCAAGATTTGTAGGTGGGAAGGGAAGGGGGAATCTGAGAAGTTGGCCATAGAAATGAATTTCTCAGCCCCTGTCTGTCATGCAGCAACCAGAGCAAACTGTTCAGAGATCAGTCAGGTCGAGGGGGATTTGATTGGCTTGGCTTCGTTTAGGCAACACTACATGTAAACCGCATAAAGTTCTTACAATCACAAGTTAGAAAGTATTCATCCAAGTCTCCAGCCTCGGAATCGTGGGAACCTCGACAGCAGGCATCGACTACAGCAGCAGTGACGCATTGGCACAATCTTTCGCATCCGCGATTTTACGCGTCCACGAGTTGCGTTGGGGGAATCTGGTAGCTCTCACGATATTCTCTGGGACCCGCGTCTACCTATTTCGACACCAACCTGCTGTTAGAGACTAAGGACGGAGTCTATGAAGATTAGGTGCCTAAATTTCTCAAAAATCGTTGGTCTCTATTTCTGGACAGAATAGTCGCGCTCACAAGAAATACCGTCGACGAAAAACGCATTGTCAAAACTTCACCAATTTCAGATATGTTGTAGCCCTAGATTAGCTACATTTCCCAAGTTCAATCGTATTAAGAGGTGCAGTAAATTTGAGTTATCGATTTCGGCGCACTAGGGGGTACGCTGCCAAAGGAATCTTAACTCAATCACAATTGTCTCACAAGTTCCACAAGAGAATTAGAGTAGCACTAAACCAGGTGGAAGGGATGAGGAGGATGAGAGGGAAGGTCCTAAGAGTGTCCCCAACCAAGGAAACCCCATGCCACACAATTCCCTTCCCCATACGCAACCCAACTTTGACCTTTGTCACTATCCCAACCTCCACAATCCACCTCAACCCAACTTGGCTACACTTGCCAACCTGGTTTGGTTTCACCCAACCATTTGGCAGCAGCTACAGTAGAAAAGACAAATTTCCCAACCCCCAAAAGTTTGTACCCCATATTGAGTCAACCCCACAACTTCCCACGATTACCACAATCAAATATGAAAAGCATACGAACTCCAACGTTCGTAACTTTCTTGTTCGTGCTCCGATTGAAGCGGTACTTGGTTCGTCGAAAAGCTCTATGTTATAGTCACAATAGGCTCCAATGTGCCTAAAACGAAAGATAGAGTGTACAGCCGGATTTCTGCACAGCGGCTTCAAACGTTCATAGCGTTCTGGTCACAACTTCAAATGACCTGATTCAACTTGGATCTGGAGCGTTTGAACGTCGCCTACAATAGGCAATTTAGATCGCACAATTTCACAAAGTATTGACGACACAGTGTCGGTTTGAACGAACGGCACTATTGCAGCCACTATAGTCTTAGAACACAAAATAGGAAGAGATATGAAGAGTTACGAGTTGGGAATGACTCCCAGCTCCTACAAACCCCAAGAGCCAAGGTACAGTGATGTGGAACAGTGCCACACTGTCCCCAACCACGAAGGGTCTCGAAACTACCCTTCACTAGGGCCTACACCAAGTGAAATGTTACACTACACAAAGTAATGTAACTATCTTCAATATCTTGAGGTGTACCCTTTTGGCGAGCTTCGAAATCACTTGAGGCTTGACACCAAGGCTCGGGCTCTTCATCACAAACTCATCCTTGAGTTCTTGATGGGTCTGCTGCACACACCTGCGACACACCGAACGTTCGACACAGGACAAAATAGAAACCGCGCACGACAAAAATAAAAACCGCGCGCGAGACACAAACGACCCCGTAACACGCGTCTAGCCATAACTCGCTATTGACTCGACACACACACTCGACATCATGAGTCAACATTCACACACAATTATAAGCATGAAATATATATTATCCCATGCCCTCATACCATTCCATACACACACACATGCACGCACACGGACAACAAGCCGAGTGCAAACCGTAGGGTTGCACCAACAAACTCCCCCTCGGATTGTTGGCCTTAGGATATGTTGCTCTCTCAGTTCAGAGCCATCCCAGCCAGCTTGCAACACTTCCAATGCTGCTGCTCCACGAGCTTCTTAGTCATCATGTCAGCCGGCTGCCCCGTGGTCTTCACGTACCGCAACTCAACTTCACCCGCGGTCACCATGCTCCTTGTCCAATGCCATTTCACCCTCATGTGCTTTGTGAGTCCATGCAACACAGGGTTCTTAGCAAGAGCAATGGCACCCTGGATATCACAGTAGAGTGGGGTAGGTCCTTGCTGCTCCTCCCCCAATTCAGCCAACAAACGCCGCTGCCACACAATCTCCCGTACGGCACGGAAGAGTGCCATGTACTCGGACTCCATCGAGCTCAAAGCTTGGCCAACCTGCTTCTTGCTCTCCCAAGCAGTTGGGCCTCCACCAACACAGCATATGAAGCCTCCCACACTTGTCATGTCCTCTGGTTCCGATGCATATGACGCATCCGAGTAGGCGCTGAGGAACAAACGCCCGGGTTCAACACCATCCGCGCCCTTTTGGCGCCTTTGTGCCGCCGCCGAGTATTGCAGCCCAACAGTCGGTGTTTGGCCAAGATACTTGGCCACCCTCATTCCAGCTGCTACCTGCTCCTCATTAGGGCATTGCACAACCCTAGCCAGCTGCCCGGTAGCAAACGCGACGTCCGGTCGGGTGTTTACCGCCGCATACATGAGGCTGCCCACCAACGAGTGAAAACGGCGCCTCTCCTCTTCACAAACGCTCTCCT